GGCGGCGGGCCCTCTGCGCCTCCGCCGCTTTGCTTGGGTCTCCCTGGTCTGCTGGGGAGGAGGGGGGCACAGCTAGTGCGCCCCCCCCCCAGCAGACCAGGCTTTTGTTGTGGATGCCTGGGGTAGAGCGCCTGGGGTGCTGCCGGGTTGGTCCTGTGGGGACCTACCCGGCAGCGCCCCAGCTGTTCTGTCCCAGGCTCCAGATTCAGCCACTGTTGAAACTGATCAGTGGCTGATTCCAGGAAGCTGGAGGCAGAGCCACTCTGCCTCGGGCTTCCTGTAGTCAGCCCCTGGTCCCAGGCTTTTGTTGTGGATGCCTGGGGTAGAGCGCCTGGGGTGCTGCCGGGTTGGTCCTGTGGGGACCTACCCGGCAGCGCCCCAGCTGTTCTGTCCCAGGCTCCAGATTCAGCCACTGTTGAAACTGATCAGTGGCTGATTCCAGGAAGCTGGAGGCAGAGCCACTCTGCCTCGGGCTTCCTGTAGTCAGCCCCTGGTCAGTTTCAGCAGCAGCGGCTGAATCTGGAGCCAGTTCCGAGTTACGTACAAATTCAACTTAAGAACAAACCTATAGTCCCTATCTTGTACATAACCCGGGGACTGCCTGTACTGTATTTTGGACAGTGGGCAATGTGTTCTTTTTCTAGCATTCTCCCTTAGGTCCTAATCCAAAACCCACCCAAGGAAAGACTCCTTTTGGAATTAGTGGGCCTTGATCAGTCCTTTAGAAGATTATTCAAACAGAATGAAACTAAATGGCATAAATAAATAAATTTAATCTGTTTAGAGCCATTCAAAAAATAAAGTTGACAGCCAATACAAATGTAATAGTATGTTATACAGCTCCATAAAGAGATATGTATTTTAGCTGGGGAAAATATAAGATATTGCTGTTGGAGTGGGCAGTTTTTCCTATAAGTATTTCTGCATAGCTTTAAGAATCAGACAGGATACTGGTTAATGCATGGAGGATTACTGGAGAAAATAGATCTGAGGCTGTAATTATGCCACTATCCTTTTTCTCTTTTAGAGATGATAGCTTTGCTAGAACTAGCTCAGTGTCCAGTTACATCTGCATGAAAACAATGATACAAATGTACTGGCTTTTAAATGAACAGTAAACTCTATTTCTGAAGCCAGACAGCTTCAGTTTTAGGATTTATGGTGATAGTTCAGTGAGTGACTAGTGTGTAGGATTAAAAGCAATCATCTGAATTCTTCCCACATATGGATTAGTGGCAATTATTAGTTAATCTTACTCGGTTATGAGTTTACCTTTTCCCCTGTGGAGATGTGTAGTCCCTCCATCACCTTGGCAAAGGAGCCTTTGTTGATCATTTTGCCCACCAGGTAAGTCCCAACTTGTTTGGTGTGAGGAAAATTCTTCCCAGGGTCTTGTGGCGTCTTGCTAAAACAAAGCGTCTGCGTATCCCTGCTAGTTTTCTCCCATTCTGGTAATGTCCCATCCAGGGTGGTGGTATCTGTCGGTGTGTCATCCAAAGTTACTTTGATGGCTGCAGGCATCCTTGGGAGAGTCAGATTTACTGACCCCACTCTCTAGCTTTCCAGGGATAGCCTGTGATTAATAACACAGATGAGCATTAAATCTTTACCTCTCGAGATGCAAGTACCATCCCATTGACCATACAGTATCTAATTCTTTCCCTCGGAGACTTCCTTTTCATCGCTACCCACCCCCAGGCATTCAGATCTGCTGAAGCAGAACCAAGATGCAGATTATTAACCTAACCTGATACATGATGTCAATTAATGCCCCAGTGCTCCCAGCTCTGATGACACACAATACCAGCATTAGCATGGAATAAGCAACCCCTTTCACATAGAATGAGACTGCAGCCCAATGGACAGTGAATGGGCAGATAACACCAATCAAATAAATGGACTGTGACCCTCTTTGCCTGTTTTCCAAAGAGAAGAGCACAGCGGCTCATTGTAAAAACATCTGAGTATATGCCACTTGCATTATTATCTTTACGTCACAGAATCTTAGCGTGCATGGGGATTTTTATTCTCATGAGACAATTTTACATTTCCTGGCAAATTATTACAAAATTAGCTTCTGCAAAAATATCCCTTATTAACTCACTATAGGATTGCTTTTCTCTTTATGGAGAGGATTACTAAAAGTTACTTTTAAAAAATGTCCTGCTTTTAAATGAATGTAAAGACTACTTTGTGTTGTGTAACTCAGACTTCAGAAAGGACACTAGTCCCCAAACTGAGTGATAGGGAGAGTGGGAAAACTGTAATGAAAAATGAGGGCCTGCAAACAATTAACTTTATGCATATGAATAGTCCCATTGACTTGAATGGGGCAACATGTGCACAAAGTGAAGTATGTGTGTAACTGTTTGTAAGATCAGGATCAAAAGTTCATATGACCATCAAAAAGGTAATTCAGATAATTTAAATAGCACTCCCTCCCCTCACTCTAGGTCAAGCTTGAATTTTTGATGAACCCTTTTCCTTGTCACTCAGCTAAAATGTCAAGTATGGCTCTCTTCCTCTGAGTCTCATCATTAACCAAAAGATAAGTTGCAGCTGATGCAGTTGAGAGCAAATGCTGGATTCTCATAAAGTATTTCAGATTAGTTTTGTGATGATTGTCGCTTGATTTGATGGGGGCATTTGCTATACCTCAGAATTAAGGCTGTTTTTCTGATTCCCACAGAGATGCAGAGCCAAAGAAAACTGATCTTCTAGAGAAACTAGAGGATGGGATTGATAGAATTGAGAAATGTCTCTTGATTAGTGCTTTGAGCTATGCCTTCTCCTTTTTTTCCACATCTCTACTATTGGCTTTCAATCAAGACAGAGCGGTAACATTTAAAACAAACAGAGAGAGAGGAATCACAGCTTGAAACACAAAGTCCATATTTCTGGCACTTTTCCGAAGAAAGGCAAAACGTGTAACAAACATTTATAACTGGCTATGAATTATATATATTCTTGGGGAAAGGCCCACCTTGAAAAATCTTGAAGTAAAAAAACTGCCAAACATATTTTAATGTATTTTTTTGAATAGCAAAGAATTAAAAAATTGGGGGTAGGGGTGGAGTTGGGGAGGGGAGGCGGGGAATGAGCCAAATATTTCTCTGTTTTTTGGGAATATATTCCTAGTATTGAGCACAAGCCAGCTGAAATCTTGTATGAAAAGGCATCTGACAGGCATAAGAATGGCCATACTGGGCCAGAACAAAGGTCCATTTAGCCCAGTATCCTGTCTTCTGACAGTGGCCAATGCCAAATGCCCCAGAGAGAGTGAACAGAAATAGATAATCATCAAGTGATCCCTCTCCTATCATTTATTTCCAGACCCTGACAAACAGAGCCTAGGGACACCATTCCTACCTATTCTGGCTAATAAGTATTGAGGGGCCTAACCTCCATGAATTTATCCAGTTCCTTTTTGAACCCTGTTAACATTCTGGTCTTCACAACATCCTCTGGTAAACACCTTTTGTTTGTTTTAAATCTGCTACCTATTAATTTCATTTGGTGACCCCTAATTCTTATTGTAGTCCCCTTACTAAAGGTGCCTCTGACTTTTTCTGGGAGGATCCTGTGTGCTGCAATCTAGCCCTAGAGACTGCAACTCCCATGAGCCCTTGTAGAAGAGAGGGCTTGTCCAGGCATGTTGAGAGAGGGTCTTAGCAGTCTGGGGCTCTCAATTTTGGGAGAGGGGAGCCAGGCTGCTGTGGAAGAGCCTTATATCCAGTCCAGGAGCTGTTGTATTGCAGCTACAGCCTGGGACTGAAAGTCTGCAGTGTTTGGATCTAGCAGGCTGCTTGAGTGAGGAGCTGATGATTGCCCTAGAGGGGAGAGACTCTGGCTGCGCCTGTGGCTGAGAAGGACTACACAAAAACCAGCACACAGGAGGAGGCTCTAAATAAATGGGCTCTTTGGGAAAATGCTGCCTGGGACAGACCTCAGAGATACAGACTAAAAAGAGAGGCAGAGTGTCCAGCCCAGGGAACCAGAGCTGCTGGCATCTGGTGGAGCCTGCTCCAGTGGTAGAGGGAGTTTGCAGCTGGCTGCACAGCTTGGACTAACACACATACAACCTACAGAGAACCTCCACTCCAGCTGCAGATCTTCAAGCACCCATGCAAGCAAATGTCTGGAACTCTGGGGTGGGATAAATGGTGGCAATGCAAATGCCAGATAGATAAGTTCCTATTATTTCTGTGTACAGGCAGTCCCCGGATTACGTACAAGATAGGGACTATAGGTTTGTTCTTACGTTGAATTTGTATGTAAGTCGGAACTGGTACATATTTTTGGGGGGGGGGGGGGGGG